TGAGGCTCTTAGTGACTCTTGGAAGATAAGTGTGTTTATCTTCCTCCTGTAAATTTTCTACTGATGATTAATGAAAGTGTTATTGATAAAAAAAAAAAAATATTCTGTGAGCAGCTCTAGCGACTTCATCCACTGAATAACCCTTATGTGGATCAGGACCTTCAATTCTTAAGCCCCTCTCTTTACATCAGAGAAGATTCTGGTATTTCTTTCTTCCCACAAAGACCAGCATACTGCTGCCCTCATTCCTCTCCACATAGTCCTTCCCCTTTTCGTATGCTACCTGAAGAAATGAGCACAAAGGCCTTGAAAATTTGATGGCGGGATCCAAGTACACCCAAAAAGAGATAAAGCCCACTCCCAAATAGACTTAGCAAATTGGTAAGACACCAGAAGATGAAAACCGGTCTCCCCATCAGCATTACAAAGAACACACCAATGAGGGGACAAACAAGTATTGGGTCTCTTCTTTTGGAGCAGATCATCAGTGTTGAATCTTTCCAAAAAAGCTTCCCACAAAAACCACCAACCTTAGGAGGAATTGGTCTACACCAAACCTCATTAACAGGGAAGGTGGGGGGGAGGGTTACAGGATTTGAGGGCTGGCAAAGCACTTTAAAGAAAGCGGCACAGGAGAAAAAGCCAGTAGGGGTAGGGGTCCAGATTCTAGAGTAATCCTTAGAAGGGTCCAAGAAAACATTATCAAGAAGGAGGAGACTCGAAATACTGTCTAGGTTGGAGCACATAGCCCTTCTCAGACCCAAATTCCAACCAAAACCAGACAAGGAAGAGGAAGGAGGACACTGGCTTATTCTTAAAATCAAAAAGTGCATACAAGGAAGGAAATTGGTCCTTAAGAGGTGCATTCCCCACTGGCTTATTCTTAAAATCAGAAAGTGCATACAAAGAAGGAGGTGCATTAATGAAATTGTTGTTATTGATATAAAAAAAGATGCCAGGGTTTGAGGGTGTATCACAAGCGGTGGAGGTAGGTTGATTTTGGTCATCAGCAGTCCAAGCCAACTCCAATTTCCTTTGCGGCACCAAATCTAAGTATCACAATTCCTCTATCTTCCACTATAGATGAGATATCTCCCATACCCTCCATTGTTGAGCCTTCTCCCCCATTGGATGATCTTGATCTTGTAATTGCAGCCCGTAAAGGGAAGCATCATTGTACCTCATCTATAGCCCATCATATTTCCCAGTTTGTCTTATGATCATTTATCTCCATCCTATAAGTCCTTTTTGGCCTCTATTGCTCCTATTGCCATTCCCACAACAGTGTAGGAAGCGTTGTCAG